TTGTTGCATAAGTCATTGTAATCGTTACATTGGTTTGTCCAAATCCTTTGCTTGATATCCATATCGTAAATTGTTTTCATCAATCGTAATTTTGTCATGTTAGTGCTTGTGGTACTCGGTTGTTATTATTATCAATTTACAAAATTGTTTTCATCATCAGTCAGTCGTGAATAATTAGGAATAATAATTGATCAAATTGGATATTAGAATAAGTAAATTATCTGAATAATATATGAATTTGGAATAATGTATAGAATATAATATTGGAATGATAAATCAATAAGATTATTATATAATATTTTTAAATCGAATATTGGAGTGATAAATCAATAAAATTATAATTTAATATTTTTAGCGTTTAATTTATTTTTTGCGTTTTAGTGTCCAATATTTATTTTATATATTAAGTTATATAATCTATTAAATAAGCAAGTTTTTGTTTAATTCGAATTGGTCTAGAAATTGGTATTATATTATTTTTATTAATGATTTTTTTTATTTTTATCCACACTTCCCTCCTTAAAAGAATTTTTAGAGTTAGAATCATAGTTTATAAATGTGTTAAAACAATTTCTTATTCTTAATTGGTATAGTCTCCTTTATACACCTTTATCTGTCTTAATTTGAAACATCATGTTACTTTCTTTATGGACCAATCCTTTCCACCATTTTTCATCAACTTGTATTGTACCAAACAAAATCTCCTACATTAAAAGTTCTATTGCGTGGTAATGATACGTTAACTCTATCCTCTTTTTCCTCCAACGGTTTTAATACAGGGTTTCCCATCAGTGGCGTATCCAGGATTTTCTTATGGGGGGGGGGGATTTTTTTGGGGGCTTAGCCCCCAAACCACTCTTACCTGGCCTTCGGCTGGGTCTTATGTTTTAGCTATTCTATTAAATTATTCATAATTTAATAATAATTATATTTCTATTTTTTACTATTATTTACTAATTCGTGCTTATGGATATTACAAGCCTATTTTTTATTATTTTAAGTTAGGTATATTATATTTAATAAAATTTTTTAAATGTAAAGTTGAAATAAAGTTTAATGTCATTTTTTTTATAAAATTTGCTTTAAAAACTAGCCTCAGCTTAAATTCTCATACAATATAAGCAGAATATAATTTTTTTATTGAAAATACTAATAGTAGTGTGTATAAAATATTGACTAGAAAATAATTTAAAAACAAGTTTTTTTTAACATCTTATCAAATACAATATTATACAAATTTTTTTATTAAATACTATAATTATAATGTGATTTTCGTACTTTATTTGCGATAAAAAGGTATCTAAGAATGGGATGATAATGGATATTTTATAATATTCTTCAGTTGAGCCAATATTTATTTTACATCTCAATATTTGCCTAGGTGCTAGACGAGGTTTAATTAATGTTATATCATAAAATTTAGCCTTCGGTTCAACGTCTAGATAAATATTATGAAAATATTCATTCTTATTGTATCTACCTGTTCATATATATTTTCTGCCAAATCAATAACCTGAACCAAATCTAAATTTGGTTTTTGTAAATTTCTACAAAGTAGTAGGCTATAGGAAAAAATTTATTGATGCAACTAGCAGCAATGATAAACTCTGATTGATCAATTGAATTCAATAATGATATCGCTTCTGACGATACATTACTTTTTTTCATGCTCAGCCTTATTTAACTTTTGTATTTCTATTTCTTTTGTTCTACAAAATGGAAGTAAAAATGAAAAATATTTAAAAAATTATAGATATTTATTAATAATTAAAATATTATTAAAAATACTTATTGATTCTAACTCACTAATAATTTTGAATTTCATAAAATAATTATATATAATAATAAAATAAATTACCGTTTGATTTCAATCTCTTTGACTAAAAAATTTTCCATTTTATTAATATTTTTGAATAATGTTATTGTACTCACAAAGAAAAGAAATTTTAATAAAATTTATTTATAAAAATAAGTTTTATGCTTGAAAATTGATATTTAAATATTTGTAAAATTTTGATCGGGGGTGGGGGGGAGGTGTAAAATTTTTATTAGCTTAAAATTATATTTATAAAAACAGCCAAATTAGCAATGGGGGGGAATTCCCCCCCCCCTCATTGGTTACGCGCCTGTTATAGAATATTTTTTAATCACGGAGGATTGCTAGCACGGTTGAAGCTAGATGAATAACCCAGCAATTCATATTTTTCGACTCCCAGAAGGTCATTAATGAAGTATCTTTCGTGACTCTTTCAACTTATAATAAGAATTAATTAGGGAACCTATCCTTCTATTCTTATTTTCAATTTCAAGCCCCACATCACTACTTAGACAGTTTCTTGAAAAGGCAATAATTTTTTTATTTCATCAGCTGAATTTATTTTATTTGGCATAGTAGGACAGTAATTTTCCCAACTTCCCCATTATGAAATGTGGATTTTCCGCCATATCTTGCTCAAGTGAATTTTGGCCGTTCCCTTTTCATCACACGACAAAAGAACTTGGTGTCTAGAATCATGGTATATTGCAAAACAAAACGCATCTTTTTTATATTGATTTCTTTTGTTTCAATACAGGAAGCCAGTGATTTTTCAAATGGAATGTTTAATTTTTTTGCTGACATTTATGGTCTAAGTTGTTATATATAATCTCGATTCAAAGCCATTATAAAGGTTCGGTTCTTAGCTATTTGGCATAAAGGTTCGGTTAAGATTTAAAAAATTATAATGTTTTATTCCGGGCTATAATGGTTTGGTTCGCTCCAGGTCCTTGATACATACTTAACAGAAACCAAGAAGATAAATATAAAAAATTGAATAACTTCATTTTTACCCTAATAGCCACATCCACCAGTGGAGAATTTTGTCTGAACATCCTTTTGAAAACGTTGGCTCATAAAATTCCAATATTGCATGTTAAAAGAATTTTTTTTTAAGAATAAAAGTACAAAAAGAAATTTTTAATAAAACTATTCCTAGGGGCTCAGTTATGTTTTCCCTAATTGTGCTCCATTCCCATTTTTTCAAATATTTTTTTTGGTTTTTATATTTAAATTTTATATATAGTTTATTTGTTATTAAACTAACTAATTTCATATAGTTTTTTATTAGGAAAACCCTATGGCAGGGTTGGGCAGCATTTTTAAATACAAGATACTTTTCATTTTGAAAAAATATCTTTTATCTATATCTTAAAAACTTAATTTAAATCCGAGTTAAACTATTATACATTTTTTTTTAAATTTCCCCCCAAATAATTATTATTCTAATGATATCTTATGAAGTTAATGAAGTTGAACTGGAAATATTAAATTAATTAAAGATGATTTTCTTGATCCCAACAACTTACATAAATAGCCATATCAATTTTTTTTTTAAATATAACACTATTTTATCCTCTTCAGTCAGCCCCAATTAAACGGCTATTTAACTTTGCAAACCTAATCAATGGGCATAGATTGTCAGAAAAATTATTTGAGAAATTAATTATATTAAAAAATAATGATTATTTACAAAAAAATTTATGTATTTTTTATACGAATTATCACATTGTCTTAATAAATTACTGGTCCAATACTCTATAATGCTATTTTTAATATTTTTGATTAAATGTATTATTTATTATTATATACATTTTTAAATGTTGCTTATCAATTTAATTGCATTATAATAATATAGTATAAAAATTTTATTTAATTTATTTCTCTGAATTTTTAGGAAATAATTAATCAATTTTTCAGAAATGATATTTTTTGATGTGATCTATCCGAGAATATGTTAATTTTTAAAAAAATTAATATCACTTTTTTTAAACATTGAAATATATTTATATTTTAGCCTTTAAATATAATATTTCCTATTTTCCAGATTTTTTTTGTTTTTCATTGTTAAAATATTAAAAGTAAACAATCAGGTATACCAAAGAAAAATTAAAACTTGATGAAATGTTTGTTAAAAGGTAGGCTTCATTAATAAAAAAAAATATATGCAACAAATACAAATTTGCAAAAGGTCATTGAAGAAACTGTTAGTGATATATGCCCAAGAGTAATAAGTGATCATATCTTAGACGAAGAACAATTTTGGATAAAATATTTAAAGTTTTTAGATATATTAAAATGCGGGCTATGTAATTGTTGAGAATTCAAGAAAAAAAATGGACTTTATTCCAAGTAAATGAGATACCATCTTTAGAATAACATATTATTCAATTATGCCATGTTCCAATATTTTCTCTATCAGAAGAAGAAAATAATAAATATGTTTAAATAAGAGATAAGGATCTAAATTCAAAAGCTCAATATGGTGCCTATTTACTACTATATCCCCAATATCAAAGACAGCATCTACAAATAAGAATTCTAACCGTTAATCAGATTTCAGCATCAAGCTGGAAGATGGGAACCTTTTCAGAAATAATTGATCCTTTTGATAATATTCATACAAAGAACTAAAATCCATTGAAAACTTTGACTACGGGAAAATTAGTTAACGTTTATCATAATTTACGATTAATTAAAAACATAAAAGAAAATGATTATTCAATTGAACTAGGAAAGTACTCTGTCTCAGAAGGTGAAAATAAAACAGTATTTCAAGAATGAATCAAAATATTACCAAATTCAATAATATTCATTTATTTATTGATATATTTGTTATTATCTGTCATAAAAACATTTAATTGAATTTAACCATATTTGGCTTGTCAAATATCGGTCAATTGATTGATTAGTATTTGACCGGTCAACTTAACCCTGAAATAAAGTGTTTTGTTTAACATTATGTCTTAATTTTTTAACATAGTGTCCTTTATCTTATACTAATTTATTTGAAGTGTCTGTATAGATACCCTTTTTCTATTTTTTATCAAGTAATTTATATCTATATATTTTATTATTAAAATTTGACATCCCTGCCCTATGATAGTTATTTATAGCATTTTATAATATATCATTAAAAAATCCCATTTGGATATCAATAAAATGAATGGTTATTTTTTTATAGAAATATTTAATGCGGAAGTGGTATTCAGGGGCGACCACAATGCCGATGAATTGATAGACGTGGTTATTGGTAATCGGTCTTATATTCCTTGTCTATATGTAAGATTTATTCTTAATTTTGATAAATACGTAAAATAACGGGACCTACGTGACTACCATTGGGATAGAGTTAATTTATATGAAATGAGATTAAGACGTGGTAAGTGTCATGTTTTAAAAAAGTAAAAACCCAAAATAATTTTTTTTAAATGTAGTGGACTTAAAGATCTCCAATAAAATGTATGAGGACCCCCCACCCCTCACTTAATAGTGCTTACTCTCTTAGCAAAATCCTGGATATGCCTATGCGGTTGGTTATGAAAAGGGACTGATATTGGCTATTCTATTAACCCATATTAGATTGCTAATGTTACATTAATATATGGGAATGGTAGTGACGTGTCCCTTTATTTTACCCGCTTACTTTAATTTTCTTTGCCCATTTTTTATATACCTATTTCGTATTTTTAAGATAAAATTTTAAAAAATAACTTTATATTATCTAGATATAATATTTTCTTTTTTAAATTTCATATTAATCACTTTTTTAGCAATTACAATGTAATTTTTAGGATAGATGGCTCATATACCATTACTTTAAAGCAGAGTTTTACAATTTCACAAAATTAAAGTTAAACTTAGATTTTTAAAGAAAGTTCCGCTAGTTTTTGATCACATTATTAAAAAAAACTAATCGTTCATTGGTAAAAAATCGAATATATTTGCATTAAAATTTTTTTGTAAAGAAAAAGGAACATGATCAAATTCTGCGTAAAATATATTTTTTTAGATACATTGATAAAATTTTTATCCGATCAAGAACGTTTTATTTAAAACTAAATTTTCTACAATAAAAACGCGTTCCACCAGAATGGGTATTGGTGTTTTATTAAGTGAACAATGATCTTATTTCTAGAAATTTATTGAAAATATTTAATGTATTATCTTTTGTTACGAAAGATTTTGATAAACAATCATCGTCTGAATCTTCTGACTTTCTGTTCGGAAGCTTTACATTTCTTGATTTTCTTTTCTACGGTTTCTTTAAATATGATATATTTTTAATGATTTCATTCATTTCTGAAAGCCTTGTCCAAGGCCATTAGATAAATACCAATATATTATTAGGAAAATAATATACTCATCTTCAGATACTATATATTATATTGTAAGCATCAAATTACCCTAATGCATGTATCTTTAATCTAAAAATGTGGTGGCTATTTACTCCATGATCTATTACAATACTTTAAATTCATTTTGATGTTTATTAAAATCAAAATACATAAAGATAAGTCCAAACTATCAGATATATCTACATAAAATCATTTATGAACTTTAACATAATAAAATATAAACCATTTTATAATAAAATAAAACCGTCAGAAAAGAAGACGTGCTGAAAAATATTTGAAGGAAACAGCTAAGTAGGAAAATGAAATATTTTATTTTTAACTTTTTTAAAAGGAAAATTCGAACTTTTATAAATGAAAATGTAATCGTTTTATTTAATGAACGTAAAAAATGAATGTTTGACATAAAAATGAATAATTCGACGAAAATAAACGGAACGCCCGCGATTTTCCAAAAAGAATTTTATTTGCATGCGTTCTTTACAATACTAAAGAAACATCCGTTGCGAATAAATCTTTTTATTAATATAATGTCTGTTATAGATGTTAAATAAAAACAATTTAATAATTAAAATAAATTTAAAAAAATATAATATAAAATTAATGGAAACACACGATGAATAAAAATTTCAAAATTATTTTAAACATAAAAAAGTGTGTATTAATTAAGATTTTCAAAATTATTTTACAGAAAAAATAAAGTATATATCTAAACTATAAAAAAAGGGAAAATAAAAGGCGCAATTATAAATTAAAATTAAATTGGCGTAAAGTGAAAAAAAGAACGTTTTTGTGGAAACGAGTTGTGTTAGTTTTATCGTACATAATTGGGGATAAAATCTACCCCCTATACTTCCCGAAACTCAAAATATATCTTGGGATGCAGGGTGGTCTCCCGGACCCAACGGTCTAACTCATATTTTCGGATCACCTTACTGAGGACTCCTAAAGTAAGAAATCCAGTAAAGTGAGAGAAAACACAAAAGCCATATGTTTTTACTTTCACTGTGTTTAACTTAAAACAAGAGAGGGACCAAAAAGAGAAACCTTTTTTTAACTTTCATTTTATTGTAAATAAAGGAGGGGTATTAAAAAACTTTATTTAACTTTAACATAAACAAAAGAGGGAGATTAAAAAAAATTCACAATAAAAGAGGGGGATAAAAAATGGCTTTAAGAAAACTATTTTATTAAATTTAAATTGAAGAATTACATTATGTTCCTATATTTACATATTTTCAACTTTATATAGTATTATAAAATAATATAAATTTGAAGATAAAATAAATGAAATAAGTTAGTAAAAATCGTCATATATTTTATAAAAGGTCAAGTAGAAATATTGATATATTTTATAGAGGGTCATTCGAATATTATAATAATTATAAATTATTTTAATTAATTTTATAATTTATTTTAATTAATATTACAATTTATTTTAATTATTTTTACATTATCTTTATATAATCACCGTAATCAAGAAATGAACGTTTTCGTATAATCTTAATTTTTATTTTTCCTATCAACTTTTCTATCATCTTAATGTTAATTTTTATTTTTTCTATCAACTTTCCTATCTTCTTAATGTTAAATAAATCGATGGAGACTATATATCTCTAATGTAAAATTTTAAGAAAATTTTTTGTACATCACGGGATTCGAACCTATGACTTAACGTTTTAAAGGCAAACGTTCTTCCCACTCAACCACCTTCTACAGTATTAATATGATTTGTTGTAACACATTTTCATAATGTGAAAAATAAGTTTTTAAACTTTATTGAAGACTAATATCAAAGTTATGAATCAAATAGTTTTTTTTGGACACAAGTTTAAGTGGAAAAATGAGAATTCAAAAAAAAAATTTTAATAATAAAGTTCTTAAACTTTAATGAAGACTAACGTCAAAGTTATGAATCGAATATAGTTTTTTTATGTTTTGGACATAAGTTTAAGTGGAAAAATAAGAATTTTAAAAGATATTATATAAAAAAAAATTTCTAAGATTTTTACAATACCTTTTTTAAATTTAACGAATTATTCCAATATTTTAATTTTACTTTTAGCTATCCAAAGAATGGAAATCAGGATAAGAAATTTGAATAATTTCTTAAATAAACATGAGTGAAAACTCGAATTTAGGGTTTTCAGATAAATTTATTATTTATTTATTCTTTGTAAATAAAATATTGCACAATATAAATCAATTACAAATTCAATCATTTAAACGAATGCATCGAATTCCCTCTTCAATAAACTTTATGGTGTGAGAATAAAAATTTGAAAAATTATATGTAAAATAATTGCCTAAAATACTCGTAACAATTGAAATAACTTCATTTCGGTTATTGGGTTTAAGAGAATTTGATCTATATTGATTTTTAATTACTCCGAAAAAATTTTCTACCGGATTTAATTGCGGCGAATAGGGTGGCAAAAATATGATATTTGGATAATTCTCACTAATTATCCTCGCTCGATGTATAGGAGCATTATCCATTATAAGTAATGAATTTGATAATAAAAGTGTGAATAATTCATCCAGGTATGCCTTGAATTTTATCGCAGTAAAAGCCCCATCTATTATTGTGAATTTTTTCAATCCACTTATTCCTATTGTGCATAGGTTACCAGAAGTTTTTAAAAATATAATGTTTTTCTCAAAATTTTCTTTCAAGTTTTAAAAATTTTTTTAAAAAAGGATGTATTTTTCTCTACTAGTTTTTACAATAATTACGGAAAGTTAAATTGAAGTGTAGGGGCTTACGTTATGGGTAGAATGGTTTGTGGCACATCTCGATGATTTTTGGTATGCGTCATTTTAGGTTAATAAAAGCAACTACAACAATTAAATTTTAAATTTTATTTAATTTTAAAACCAAAAAAATAGGAATTATCTGAAATCCTTAAATTCGAATTTTCTTTCACTTATGTTTATTAAGAAATTATCAAATATCCTATCCTGATTTCCATTCTTTAGATAACTAAGAGTAACATTAATATATTGTAATAATACTTTAAATTTAAAAAAAATTTACAATGCATTTTAAAAAAAAATTATTCTAAAACTTAGAAATTTTTTATTCTCATTTTCCCACTTAAACTTGGGTCCAAAACATAAAAAAATTATATTGTATTCATAACTTTGACGTTAATCTTCATTAATAAAAACTCTTATTATTAAAAAAAATTTTAAAAAATTATATCAAAAATCTTTAAAAATTTTATCAAAATGTTTTTACAATAATTATGGAAAGTTATTTAACTATATAAGAAAGTTTTTTCACATTGTGAAAATGTGTTACAACAAATCATATTATTACTGTATATTAAATTTTGTAATATAATCTTTCTTATATATGTTATTATTTTGCTATTAACATTTATTTTTCAATTAATTTATATAATTTAGATCTTATTGTGTTATATTAAAAAGAATACTAATCTCACCTCAAATTATGGTAAAAATAAAAATGAATATTATTAAATTTAAAATAGCAAATTAAATTATATTATATTTAGGCAATTGAAAAATAAACATTTATCTCATATTAATTTTAGCATAATATTTATATTATTATTTAATTTTAATTAATATTAAAATTTCATTTTATTTAACATCTATAATGGAAGGGATTAAATCGCTAAAATATTTTGGGCGAGAAAATTGTCAAATACTCATTGAACACTTTTTGTTAAAACCCTGCTTTGATGAAACTTTAATAATAATTTACATTTATTTTCTCATTAATGTAAAAAATTTGTTTTTATAGGTTTATAACAAAATTGATCAAATATCTATTGAAGAAGTTGATATAAGAGCTCACGAATACAATTCAGTCGTTTTAAGGTGATAAATACTATTATATTTAATTTTTGTGATTTCCAAGGTCTCGTTTTTAATTTATTTAAAATAAAAAATGAATAAGTTGCTGAGGTGCGAAGGATGCTAGAAATAAAACACGCTATATAATCAAAATCATAAGTCTCATTATTTGATGAGACCAATTTAACTTTAAAATCAGGGATCCGAACCTTACAAAACCGAACATGAAGCGTTAAATAAATTTCGCCCTAGCCTCTAAGAAAGTTTAAAAAATCTTTGAACCCGTTTAGCCTTCTAACAACTAAGTATTTTATATCAATTTTCATTGATAAGTATCAGTCGCCATTTTTTAAAATTTTATATATTGCTATTTGAAGGTGTCACTACCCAATTTAGCATATAGAAATCTATTCTTTCTCCTTACAGATATAATTTGACAGAAGAGAATCTTTAAATTATATTTGTACGGCTCAACAGTATTTTTTTAAGAAAATAATTTCAATAATTAGTTATATTGTATTTAGCACTCTTTAATTGTTTTAATTTATAAAATAGTTGTCATTGTATATGCGTTAACAGGGCCCCACCGATATTTTTTGCTGATATTAAAATGACAGTTATAAATGTTTATATCTCAGAATTAGCAGCTAATTTTTAATGCATAAACATCCTGAAGTATCGATGTAACATGACAATTCGTTATAAAACTAAATTATTTTTAGGAGGCTTTAGAATCGGACGATTTAAAAGTTGTTCACAATCGGATCGGCAAATACCGATCCTAAAGATAGACTGATCTTATTTGCCGCTACTAATCCCTTCCTTAAAATATTTCCATTTGATATTGATTCCATGTCAATTCAGCGAGAATTTTATAGCGAATACTTTTCCGCGAAGACAATATAGCGAAACAAATATCGCGAATTTTTTATCGCAAAACCTTTAAAGCGAATACATTAGAGCGAAAATTTTTAGCGAAGTTATTATCGCGAAGGCAATATAGCGAAAACTATTTCGAGAAATATCGCGGCCTATTACTATTTATTTATTTTTATTAAAATAATTTATTTTTTTATATTTAATGTAAATATTTTATTTATCAACAAATAAACATATGATATGATTTATATTTTTTATTTATATTATGAAATGAAATGAATGGTAACTCACTGAATCACGGGGAAATTTTTAACATTATTTTTATTTATTTATTTTTTTTTTTAAATTTAAAATTTTTTTTTTATTGTTTGGTCTGGTAGAATGAAGTCATATTTTAATTTTAACAATTTAGCTATAAATTGTCTAATTTGGTATTTTAATTTGAGCGATACAATTTTATAAAATTATAATAAGAAAGCAATATTATATATAAGAGTATCAATTAAATTATATTTAATTTTATGGGCCATTCAATTTCAACGATTTTAAGCCCAACAATGCCCAAATTAAACAAGTGCTCACTTTTAATTTATAAATCTAAAAATAACTATTTCTTTTCTGAAATATCAACCTTTTTCACAAAAAAAAATTTATTCTAAAAATTGATTAATAATATGATTTAATAGTCATAACTTAATAGCTTCATAGAACACGTCTTGTTTTTATTGTGAAATTAAAGAATATGAAAATTTTCACAAGTTTTTTTAAAATTTTTAAATATACTCCGTTTTATTGTAAAATTAATGAATTATGATTTTCCACCAAAATGCAGATGATCATTTATTTATTATTATATGTATAAAAATAATATTAAAAATTTCCCCGTGATTCAGTGATAACCAAAAAATGATATGCCTATTGTATATTATTTTTTTACAATTTATTAGTGATTTTCACGCCCAAGATTTTAAGTAAAAAATATTTCTTGAAGTTCAAGAAGATTTTTGAACATATTTTGATAAAAATTTTAAATCTTCTTTGTAAATATATCTTTTTTGAGGTTTGTAAATTTATTATAAATATACAATTTTTAGGTGAAATATTTTAGTTTTTTTTATCATTTTTGTAAAATTATCTATTTTAAGTATATTAAAAGAGGTGAGTTTTTCTAAATCATTTTTTTAAAATATTTATACTAGACTATTTTATGTTATTTTATATGATCTTTTTAAGGAAAATAATTTTATCTGACAATTTTTATTTTCGTTATTGAAGATGTTCCTTGGAAATATGACAATTATTATATTCGGTATATTTAAACATATTATATTTTTTTACGGAAAAATGTATAACATGTTAAATTAAAATCAATTAAGATGCACCATATAAAAGTTACAATTATCATAATCGTTATTTTTAAAGTTTTTTAAATTTTTCTGACGTAAATGGGCTAAAATAAGTATTGCTAACATGTTTAAATAAAATTTCAGTGAAGATGTACACTAGATAATTGACAATTGTCATGATCGTTATTTTTAAAGTTTTTTAAATTTTTTTGACTTAAATGGGCCAAAATAAGTATTGATAACATGTTTAAATAAAACTTCAGTGAAGTTGTACCCAAGATAAATAACAATTGTCATAATCGTTATTTTTAAAGTTTATTGAATTTTTTGGACCCAAATGGGCAAAAATATAAATTGCTAACATGGTAAAATAAAATATCAATGAAGATATACCATAGATAAGTGTCAATTGTGATAATCGTTGTTTTTAAAGTTTTTTGATGCATGGGTAAAAATATAGATTGTAAAAATGTCAAATTAAAATTTCATAAAGATGTACCATATAAAAGATAAAATTATCATAATCGTTATTTTTAAAGTTTTTAAATTTTTTTGCCAATAGGTTAAAATATAAATTGCTAACATGTTAAAATGAAATTTCAGTGAAGATATACCCTAGTAAATGACAATAGTCATAATCGTTATTTTTAAAGTTTTTGAATTTTATTGACGCAATTGGATAAAAATATAAATTGTTAACATGTTAAAATAAAATTTCAGTCGAAACAAAAAAACAAATCGATATTTTCATGCTCATAATCGTTGTGCCTTTGCTTAAAATTTGATAAAAATATGCAAAGTGATGATTAAAGATAGTTATAACCTTCTAAACTTTTAAGATATGGATTCACAATCTTATTCCTTTAATTAATAAATTTTGATTCTACATTATAAAAATGTATAACCCTGCATTCAAAGTTAGTAAATATTTTTGTATACTAGTGGCAAAATAGTGCTGAGTCTGAATTCAGGGTAGGATTTTTAAAAGAACTTAAAAACCATATGAATATTATTTAGTAATATGATACAATCAACATCCTATAAATTTAATGTTTAAATTTTTTTTTTATAAACATATGGTTAAAATGGATTACAATCTATATTTTAACCCATTTGTATCAAAAAAATTTAAAAATAACGATTATAACAATTGTCACTTTTCAATGGTACATCTTGATGAAATTTTAATTTAGCATGTTTACAATCTATATTTTTCCCCATTTGCAACAAAAAATTTAAAAAACTTTATAAACAACGATTATGACAATTGTAACTTATCTATGGTACATCTTCACTGAAATTTTATTTTAACATGTAAGCAATTTATATTTTTGCCCATTTGCATCAAAAAAATTCAAATAATTTCAAAAATAACGATTATGACAATTGTCACTTTTCTATAGTACATCCTCATGAAATTTTAATTTAACATGTTTACAATCTATATTTTTACCCAAATTCAAAAAACTTTAAAAATAACGATTATGACTGTTACTTATCTAGGGTACATCTTCACTGAAATTTTATTTAAACATGTTAGCAATACTTATTTTAGCCCATTTACGTCAAAAAAGTTATAAAATAACGATTATGATTATTGTCACTTTTCTATGGTACATCTTCATGAAATTTTAATTTAACATGTTTACAATCTATATTTTTACCCTTTTGCGTCAAAAAAATTCAAAAAACTTTAAAAATAACGATTATGATAATTGTCACGTATCTAGGGTACATCTTAACTGAATTTAAACATGTTAGCAATACTTATTTTAGTCCATTTACGTCCAAAAAAGTTATAAAATAACGATTATGACAATTGTAACTTTTCAATAGTACATCTTCATGAAATTTTAATTTAGCATGTTTACAATCTATATTTTTACCCATTTGCAACAAAAATTTAAAAAACTTTATAAACAACGATTATGACAATTGTAAACTGAAATTTTATTTTAACATGTAAGCAATTTATATTTTTCCCCGTTTACGTTAAAAAGATGTAAAAAACTTTAAAAATAACGATTATGACAATTGTCGCCTTTATATGGTACATCCTAATTCAAATTTTAATTTAAGATGTTAAAAATACATATTTTTGCCCATTAGTGTCAATAAATCTAATATGTTTTAATGAGAATGATAATTATAAGGCTTGAATATTTAATCTAGAATGATTGTTATAGTAAATTGGTATTTTATTTACATAATTTAAAACGAAAGAAAATACAAGTTATTATCATATAAGAAAAATAAGTTATTGGTAAAATGAATAAGAAGTAATCGCAAAATGAAAATATATATTAATTTCTATATATATTATGTTGCCTTGAGATATATATATAAATTATTTAAGTATTTAAATATATAATAGTTTAACTAAACTTTAAATATAAATTATTTAAGCATTTAATAATATAATAGCGCACATGCAACATGCTCCCTCCAAAAAAAATATAAAAAAATGAATACTGGAATAAAAAGTGAAAGAAACTACAATTTATAGGGAATAAACGCTCGCTTGACATGCGGGAGGTAACTCTTATAATGTTACATGCGTAATAATGTTAATATTTAATGTTACAATAATGATATCATTATTAAAATAATACCCTATACTTACATTAAGATTAACAAGGAATTATATAACAAATAATATATATACAATTTTAAATCTTGAAAACACAACATGGTACAAATGGGGAAAGAAAGAACTCGTTTGGCATGCAAGAGGTAATTTATTTTTAAGAATGAAAATATATGTATCAAGGGGAATTGGCACCATAGTTGTACATGATAGTTTTTTATGTAATTACCCTTACAAAAGGTATAAATTACAGAGTTATCTGTATCTGTATCTAGATAGATTTTTTAGAAAGGTATCTGTATCTGTATCTAGATATTTTTTAGATGTATCTGTTTCTGTTTTTAGATACTTTTTAAGATACATTTTATATACCCCTTTTTTTATTATAAATAAAAATATTTGACTATAAAATTTATTTTATTTCATATGAGCTTATGAAATAAATAAATAAATATATATTATATATTAATATTTATTAATACTATAATAAAGAATTATATATACATAAAATATTAAAACTTATATATAAAAAATATATATAAATATTCATTAATTTAAATATTATGTCCGAGTTTATCAATAAACCATACAAATTTTAATATTACAATATGGAAATGGTAAATTTTATTTTATAACTAATTTTTAAGTTTATATATTTATTTAGATCTATATCTATGAAGAAGAGGAAGCAACAAGTTCTATTGCTTTACCATGACCTTTTCACAATATAATATTAATTTAGGTTTATGCAAACCTATAAGAGCATAATAAAAAATGTATCTGTATATAGATACATTTAAAAATTGTATCTGTATCTTGATAACTTTTTAGACGCTGTATCTGTATCTAGATAACTTTTGAGACTATGTATCTGTATCTGTATCTAGATCTATTTAAAAAGTATCTTTTAACAACTCTGATAAATTACACTATCGATAGGTACAATTAACACTATAGGTGGTCAATAAACAATAAATATATTTGGAATAAAATTAATATAAAAAAAAATTTGGAGATGGTGATAAAAAAAAATATAATAAAAGCATATTATCATAGAAAACAATTATAATTAAAGAACCATTATGATCTAAATGAATAATTTTGACCTTAGAAAATTTGAATTTAAAATGACATTACTGATCCTCTCAGTGACAATACCCCCACGCCATAATTGATTGATGCTCACTTTGAAACGGAGTTGCGTAAAGTTAATTCTCAAAATTTAATTCTTTTAAAATTAAGGTAGTAAATCAAAGTCATTGTCATTTCTTTTAAATTTAAGGTTATAATCAAAGTCATTGAACAATCAACCGATTCCTATTCGAAGCGATAACCGATTATAAAAAGTTAAAAAATTAACCCTATCTCCTATCTCTTTAGTATTAACAACTTCATCCTTCGTAAGCTTTTCAAACTCTTTCATGGGCAAGGATGACACCAGAGAACCAGTATCTATCATAAAAGAAAAATCATAATTATTAACTTGAAGGTCAATCATAATATCATTAATTTTATTTATTGGTCTTAAATTATAAGGGGTTTGTATTATCTCCGTCTTTTTGAAATTGTTGTTGTTGTTGCTGCCGTTGTTGTTGTTGCAATTGTTGTTGTTGCAATTGTTGTTGTTGGTGTTGGCCTTAAAAGTATGCTTGTTCTTCCAAGACGAATAGCCTTGCCAATCGGTTCTATCCTCTCTTCTCCAAGAATCTTTCTCTACATATGTTTTATTATTATTGATCTCCAACGATTGAAATTTGTCAACAATGTCCTCTATAATATTAATCTCTGTAGTATTTTCTTCAATCAACCTTGTTTTTAGCTTTTCATTACGACAATTCAACATAAAATGCACGGACAAAAATTCAGGATTGAGCCTCGAACCATACCCTTTCAGTCTATCGAAATACTCTCTGGAAGACTCAAGTGTGTCCGGTTTTGTATTGAACAACTCCAAAATACGCGTGATCTTTACATCATTCCTATCCTCCACCATAATGAGAATGATAATTATAAGGCTTGAATATTTAATCTAGAATGATTGTTATAGTAAATTGGTATTTTATTTATATAATTTAAAACGAAAGAAAATACAAGTTATAAGAAAAACAAGTTATTGGTAAAAAGAAAAAAAAGTAATCGCAAAATGAAAATATATATTAATTTCTATATATATTATGTTGCCTTGAGATATATATATAAATTATATAAGTATTTAAATATATAATAGTTTAACTAAACTTTAAATATAAATTATTTAAGCATTTAATAATATAATAGCGCACATGCGCACATGTAACATGTTTAAAAATACCGATTATGATAATTGCCATTTTTCCAAGGAACATCATTGATAATTTAACATCTTTACAATATAAATGATATTTTTACCTTTGGAGTCAAAAAATTTCAAAAATCTTAAAAAATAACGAATATGACAATTGTCACATTGAAATATTATCCTTAAAAAGATTATATAAAATAACATAAATAAGTTAAATATACTTAAAAAATGGATAATTTTACAAAAATGATAAAATAATTATAAAAGATTTCACCGAAATATTGTATATTTATAATAAATTTCACAAACCTCAAAAAAGATATATTTACAAAGAAGATTTAAAACTTTTATCAAAATATGTTCAAAAATCTTTTTGAACTTCAAGAAATATTTTTACTTAAAATCTTAGGCGTGAAAATTATTAATAAATTGTAACAAAAATAATATTACAATAGTAGCATATCATTTTTTATTAAAAAAACATCAAATAATAAAAAATATATATGTTGTTTTCCTTTAAATAAATGCATTCACAATATATTTATTGTTTCGCGATAATGACTTCGCGCAAACATATTCGCTATAAAGTGTTCGCGTAAAATGTTTTGCTAAAATGTATTCGCTCTAATAAATTCACGGTTAAGGTTTCGCGGAAATAAATTCGCCACATTGGCTTCGCTATAAATGTTTCGTGGAAAAAAATTCGCAGAATTGGTTTCGCGATTCTACCTTCGTTATAAAACTTTTCGTGAAAAAGTGTTTAGCGATAAAAGTTTCGCTGAATTGACCTGATACGGTGCAGTTCTCTACTCGGATCCCTGCTTGAAATATAATCTTTAATATTTTTTATTTTAAACCTTATTACTAAATGTTATAGTTGCAATTTAAAATTAAACGTCGATTATTTATTGGAGGTTCTCTGGGATCAATTGTCTCTAGTTCGAATTTATACAAAAAAACCTGGATGTAAGTCATACAATACCTTTATATTTTTTTTAATCTATTTGCATATCATGCAATTATTTGAAAATAGCTAATTGGAGTGGTGAAATAAGCTAAAAGGATTTTTTTTATTATTTTATTTCTACTTTTTATTTGAATCTTTGTTGTTCTACTGAATTATAACAAAAACTTTGGTTCAAAATTTTTATATTTTATCAGACCTGTTGACTGTCCTGTCAAAGAAACTCCCCAGAAACCTATTTATTAAGGAGTAAAAGTGATCTGGTTCAAATTTTACTAAAGTTTAAAAATTTTTGCCGATTCTGATGTCTTTTGTACTTACTCACTTGATCTGCCAAGTGGCAACAATATCAAATTTTCTTAGTTTTCAATACCAATATAAAATCAGATATTGCATTTATTTTTTATTTATTAAATATAATTTAATGTATATTTTTAAATAAGTATTTGTGATTAAAAATGAAAATCTTTTTTTTGATCTTCTTTGAGAATGCTCAAGAAGATTTTTGATTAAATTTCATCTAAAAATTCTAAATCATTTTTTGTTAAAAGTCTTTTTAATATTTGAAAATATTTTAGAATTTCTTAAATATAATCTATTTTGTTATTTGTATCCATTTACTATAAATATTTATAATAACTTCGATAAAATAATTAACACATAAAAAATATAATTATAATTTATTAAAATATTACATTGTTCCACAAATTTGATGATGGTACCTTTTAGAAATTAAGAGTTATTATAATTATTAATACAAATCAATTATAAGGATTACCTATTTAATCAGTTCCCCGCGATAACCCAACTCCAAATAGCTTTGCATATGATTATAAAAGTTAGTAAAATCATAAGGAATAAATCCGTACAAGAGCTGAATAATTTTTCCAATAATTTCATCTCTTGAATTAGGGCGGGGCTTGATTGCTTGATATTTATTTTTCAAGATCCCAAAAAAATTTTCGATGGGATTTAGCTGAGGTTAATATGGTGGTAGGTATTCAATCCTATCTTTATAAGCATCGATAAGATGACTTCTTTGGATAGAATCATTATACATTATAATAATTGCATCTGTTGGTAAGACACTGATAAGCTCTGTCATAAAATCACGGAATAATAACCCATTATAAGTTCCTTCGATTATTTTATAATGGATTATCCTTCCAATTCCAATTGTACAAAGTATGCTTACATTTTTACCATTAGAGGATGAGATTTTTATTATGGATGGACATTTTATGGCTCCCAGACGTAGATTGGTACAACATGCTAGTTTATTCCACTTTCATCTAAGAAATATAATTTTTCTCGTGGGATATATATTTAAGATCTTTACACAATAGATTTGACGAATATTCATTGCCCCAGGAGTGTTTCTTCTATCAGGCTCCTTGCCAGCCCTTTTTTTCGACCAACCTATATTTTTGATATATTTACTAATTGTTGTTTTCGTTTTTGGACTACCAGGGGGTAAATTTTTATTATCTCCTGGATGGTAAGAGTGTTATTTTCCATTAATAAGCTTATGATGTATCTTTCAATTATGGAAGAATCTTTTTTTACTTCCTCTTTTTTGAATAGTGTATTCTTTTAAAGGATCTCCATTTATATCTGGGAATGTGTCCCGTCTAAATTTATAGACCGATATTTAGACATTTCGACGTATTTTGCCATGTCTTTAATTTTCATTTGTTCTTTTTCGGGCATTGATAACATTTTAGTAACTATATCTATTTTTTCTTTATTCCAATATTTGGGTATTCTTTTTGGTCTTTGAATCGACGAAGATTGGGATAGTATTACTATGATTATATATTAAACATTTTTTTTTAGTAATTTAAGAAAAATTAATAAATAACATTTTTTTATTTTAAATTAAATTTCTTTTCAACGATTAATCTTGTTAATTGCTTGTCCATATTTAATTTCAATATGTATTAAATTAAAATAAAATCTTATTATGTTTACCCCCTTTTATTGTAAGTTGATTATTAACACTCGTTTCATTGTAGCGAAATTATTTTTTTCGATATTTAAAATTAAATGGAGTATATTAAGCTTTGAAAATTATAATAATTTAAATTTGGTTGATTTAGTATGGGATACAACATATGCTTTTTTTACCTGTAAAGAAATTAGCACATTATTTATAATAAGCTTATATCATTATACACCCACCTTGGCGACTATTTTTAAAAATTTTATTTATTTCATATACGCACAAATTTTGTACTGACTTTTTTTTGCCTAAATAATTTATTTTTATATGAAGTAGATGTTAATATTTCCGATTTTTTAAATAGTGTTTCTAAGGAAACAGTGAAAATTGAAGTATAGACGCAGGATTGAAACTATGTCTGGGCCAGACAATAATAAAAATGGAGTTCAGTCCATGCAGGCCCAAAATTCAGTATAAATAGATAATTACCTAAGAAATAGTTTCGGGTCAGGAGGCTCTGTTCAGAACTCTGAATTAAAGGCTGCTTTATTAGTGTAGCTATGAAGGCAACAAAGTAGCATTTCACTATAATCTTGAACTTCTTCATTCATAATTTTGACGTAACTATCATCATTTTGAGTATTTAAAATATTATTTATATTTTTAACCAATATAGAATTATCATCAATGTAATAGAGTTTGAACCATTAAAAATATATAATCTTTATCTGATAAAAAATCTAGGTTTATACCATACATCCTAAGCGAATTAATTAAAATTTAGATGTTACTGTCTCGTTTTTATTTTTAATACTCAAGGAATATTTTAACTTAACAAGGTTGGCCAAAAGTATTTCTCATGTCGATGTCAAGAGTAATGATGCATAGCGTTAAACGTTATTAATTTTATATGTATTTAAAATATTAGATAGCATTGTAATTTTATCCTTATTTACAAAAAAATTTGATCATTTTGAGAAGCATATGTCTAGTCGGTTCAGTACGTATATCACAATCCGATGGTTCTGGGTTTGAATCCAGTAATGGTCATGTTTTTTTCTTCAGTTAACTTGTTAGTTCTGTCCATATGGGGGGGGGGTTGATATATAGTAGATCGGACTCAACCACATGATTCCATCAATATATATTAAAAAATATGGGTCTTATTGCATTTTAAAAAATTTTGGTAGTTTTTTAGCAAGTGATGTCATATATCATTACCCAAATATCAAATGCACAACTTTTCTAATCGCCCATAAACTTCTCAAGTGGTTGAAAATTATGAGAACGTTATTGGCCATGTCGGCCTGGTAAAAAATGAGGTGCACATGTCGATGTCCAATCTATTCTGGTATTAATTAAGACAAGCTGGAGAAATAATTTCAAAAAACGTTTTTCAATAAGAATTTATAATCTTCAAAATTTTTAAAATATTAAAACTAATATATGTTTTTTAATTACATTTATAGGCGCGCCCGATTTTTCTGACTGCATAATCTTAAGAAAAGGATGCACTATTGAACATTTGGTATTTTTCTATTTGTTAATTGAATGTTAGGTTTATTGGTTTTTGACATATGAATTATCAATAATAAATAATACATTAATTTGAGATTTTATTTCACAGCTAAGTTTAATCGGTTTTCTAATATTTTTCCCTATCAATTTTTTCATTCAATTAATTTTATATACTCTAATGAATAAATCTTAAATTAAATATTTTTTAGAATTATCTTATATTTTGAGAATTTTTATATTTTACCAACGTTCCATATAATGTTCAAGCACATCGCTGATAATTTTTTATTTATTTTCTTTTTAAAATATTTATTTTCTTTTTAAAATATTTATTTTTTAAATTAAAATAAGCTAAAATATAATAGGAATTTTATTAATTAACAAAAATATGTTGAATATTTTCAATAACTCGTTGTGTATCATTCTTTTGTCAAGGTATGTAGAGCCATTCTGGTAGTGCCACTAGTTCTTAAAAGATAATTTCTAAAATATTAACAAAAAATCGCTCTAAAACACCTGATTTTTGTTTACTTCTAAAATAGATTGTAGACGGATATTTTTATAAATAGATTTTCTGTACATCAAAGGGTCATTGGCGTACGCAGCGGGGGGGGGGCAGGGAGACAAATCACCCCCCCCCTCCCCCCCCAAAGCCAAAATGCAGATACCGGACATATTTTTATATTTTATTATAATTATTCATATCTATTTCTTTTTAAATTTTTATATTATTACCTTTTTCATTTACTAATTTACTTTATCAATTAATTTCATTTTCAAGTTTTCCTTGTGGCGTAATATTTATCTATTATTTTTAAATTTCCCGGTATTATAATTTTCAAATTTCTAGTCATGGATATTAGACTTTTTTTAAAAAACGCTGAAGGTGAAAATCATGCCAAAAAGCAAAAAAGTATAGTATGATAATTTAATAAACAAAAGCTGTGAACTGATGATTTCCTCAAAAGAATCAATTCAAAAGGGGATGATTCCCATTTCATCAATAATTGATAAAAATAGGGTTAAAATTGCAAAAGAAAATAGAGGCAAGATAAAACTAACTATTGAGGCTATTTTATATTGTGGCTTGCAAGGCCTAGCATTTCGTGGCCACAAGGATTCAGGATTAAATTTTAATAATAATGATAAAGAAGGTAATTTCCGTGGACTTTTAAAATTTAAAGCATTAGGAGATTCTGTATTAATGGAGAGCCTCATTAGTACCAATAAAATTGCTACTTATCTCAGCCCTAGGATATAAAATGAGATAATTAATATTTGCAACAATATCATTTTAGAAAAATTGATTGTTGAAATCAATTCTGCCCCATGCTTCTCAATTTTGGCAGATGAGACCACGGACATTGCTGGCATTGAGCAGATGTCGTTGTGTGCGCGATATGTAGATACTCATAAAAACATTTACAAGAAAATGTTTCTCCAATTTTCCTGTTTCAAGCATGACTGGGTCTGCTTTAGCTGATGTAATATTTGTGAATCTTAAAAAATTAAAAGTAATAATTAATCTTATTATATAATTATTTTAAAAAATAGCTAAATATAAATATGATACGTGGACAAGGGTATGATGGAGCACGTGCAATGATTGGACAATTCAATGGGCTTCAGGCATTTATTAAAAATGCCCAACAGCTATATATGTCCACTGTGCTGCCCATTCACTCAACTTAGCAATATCGGATTCATGTTCTTTACCATTGATATCAAATTGCTTAGGTTTTTAATTATTAAATTAAATTTTTTATATTTATATCAGGTAAAATATCTAGCATCTATGAGATGTTTAGATACCCCAAGCGTCAAAATATTTTGAACAGAATTATATCTGAAACTCCTTGCCCAACAAAGAGAAAAAAATTGCAACTTGTCCAACAAGATGGAGTCTTCGACATCAAGCAGTAACAGCTTTTATCGAGTTAAAAGAGCCGATTATTAATGCTCTTATAGAAATATCACAATGTCTGAAAAAGATATTTCTTCAGAAGCAAGCAAGTTACTGGATTCAATACTTATACCAAATTTGTTTTTCGCATTAGAATGTATTAATAAATTATTTAATTATACAACTATTTTATGTAATACTTTTCAAAAACCTGATATTGATTTGATTGAGATGATGAGAATAGCAGAGACAATTTTATTAGAACTCAAAGAAATTAGAGCTAATGCTGATGAGGAATTTCATATTTTATATGTTAATGTTGAATCAAAAGCAGAGCTATACGAGTTCAATATTTGTCTCCCACGGCTTACAGTAAGGCACACTTATCGTCCAAATATTAATATAGGGTCAATAGAAGAATTTATAAAATAAATGTCTTTATACCTCTTTTGGATACATTTATAACCCAAGTAAATGAAAGGTTTTTAATTTAAGAAACACTTATCAATCTGCCAATATTACTTCCGCAAAAGCCTCTGAACTTTTTTCAGATGGTGATAGAAAAAAAATAAAATAGTTGGAAGATTTTTATCATGAAGACATTAATGTATCTCATGATGCTTTATTAGCTGAATGCCAACTATGGTATAAAAGATTAACTATGGTTGATATATTCCCAAAAAATGCTCTGATGCTTTGCATCATTTCAAACATCTTTTAGATTATTTTCCCAATATATTGAAATTATTATATATATTAGCAACTCTTCCCATTAGTACTGCAACTAATGAGAGAACATTCTCTTCTTTAAGAAGATTAAAAACGTACCTAAGAATTACAACTTCTGAAAGTAGGTTGAATGGTCTGGCCCTTTTGAATATTCATAGGCATTTGACGCCAAACACGGATGAAATAATTGAAAAATTAGCTCCCTCCCAACGAAGATTGGATTTTACATTATAAAAATATAATGTTTCTATAATATTTTTTGTGCAATCATTGTTTAATGTCTTATATATTTTTCTTTTACATAAAAAATATAATTATTCATATTTCCAACATTTAGATTTTTTATACTTTATATATAAATTTTAAAAGCTCAAAAAAATGTAAATTTCTATTATGGATTATTTATTTTATAGTCATCATATCCTGGTTATAACTTAATATTTTATAATTCAGATTTATTTAAAGTACTTATATGCCGCCGGTTATATTCGTTTAATATTTTTTAAATCAAATTTATTTTTATATATCGGTTTATATATTTAATTTTTTATAATTCATATTAATTTAAATTTGTATATTAGAAATAGTTATTAGTCCTAATAAATTTATGCTTGATATTTTTAAATAACAATAATTTTATTTTAAAAAATTTTAATTATCCCCCCTCACACCAAATTCCTGCGTACGCTACTGCAAAGGGTTAATAAATATATTAACTTAAATTAATAGTAATATACAGGGTTTGCCATTGTTTTTGAACAGAAACTCTTATTATAAGACAAATAGTTAAACAATTCTTATCAATCTATATTAAATGTAAAGTTTATATAGCAACACATTCATTAATATAAAAATTGCCACTTGGCTAAATATACCAGTGATTTCAATTTTACTTAATTTCCACAGTATTTTTTAATACGTAAATTAATTGTCGGTTTTATACGGATTAGATTCAACGAGTTATATAGAGCAACCTTTTTTAAATCTCGTCATTGTATGAAATAAGTAACATCCACATTCTCAGAAAATAAGATAAAAATTAAATTTAATCAATAAGAAAAAACTTAACCAATGAAAAACAAAAAAACTATTTGACATGGAAAAATGTTAAATGATTATTTTTTTTATAAATTAATTAATAAATATATTTATAATCTTTTAAAATTTAAGTGTCACAGTATTCATCGAACATTAGCGTCCAACTATAAATATGGCATAGTTTGGGTAAATATTATTTATTCAATCCTGTAATTTTATTTGATAATTAGGGTAAAAGTGTGAAATTCAGTCCTCAAAGAGTAGGGCTACAACATACTCTAGCTGATGAAGATGTCGTCCAAATAATAAAAAAATGAGTTAAAAAAAATATTTGCATATAATATTTACTATAATTGAAATACATTTTATTAAATAAAATGGCGTAAATTATCATGATATTATTCACTGATATAAATATAATGCTGCAAAAATAATTTAAAAGTTAAATAACTTTATTATAATGAGCAATATTTTATTTATATATATAATAAAAAGCAGCTCTTAAGTTTAAAATAAAATAGGATACCTAAATAAATTAATCATTTATAAATAAAAAAATTTTTACAAAATAATTTAAATAAAAGAAATTATGTAAATTAATTTATCTGATTAGACACATCATTAGACTTATCTAAAAAGTGAAAGCAAAAAATTATTTTTTTAAATTATATATTTATTTTTTACAAAAAAATACAAAGTTAATGATTATTATTTTTTCATTGCTCTATATATTATTAAGGTTTATTCTATTTTTATTATTAGTTCATTCCTTTAACAACATTTACTATTTTTGTTTCTATTAATGTTATTGATAAGCGAGGAAGCACCAATTTTAATCTTATTGTTGGCAGCATTTGAGTCGTGGCGGGAAGATGAAGATTGTTTATTTTTATTATTTGATTGGTTTTGTTGATTTCGGGCTATTTGTTCTTTTTTGGTTTTTAATGCCATATGAGTTATCGCGTCGAACATCTTTTTGTTATACAAAAAAAGTGATGGCTATTAAAATTTTTTAAATAACTCCTTATTGTAAAAACGTTTAAAAAAAATCAAGAACTGGAATGAATAAAAATTTTTGAGCAAGTTATTCAACAATTCATTTTTTAAAAAGCGTACATTGAAGTCCGCCGGTATTTAAAGAAAGTGACTGATTTATATATATGTACACTTTTAATAAATAACTCGTCAATTTAGGTTAATATTAATGTCATTGATTAGCCAATACCACCGATATCAAAAGTATATAAATATTTAATGGAGAGCAAAGATATAATTCATCAATATTGCCATTTTTTTTTTATCATTTATAAATTATTTTAGGAAATTCATAAAATTAAATTATTTTTTAAATTTATGAAGGTTAATTATTAGTATTAACCAATACTGACAGATAATTGGTGCATCTATGGAAAAATATAATATATCAGAGGTCCATGCCATACCTTTTTTATTATCAGTTTCTGTTAAATTGAACTGATTTAAGAATAGGTATTTGAACTCTTTCAAATCTATGGTTGTTACAATTTTTGCTTTCGGGGTATTAATTGCAAAAGTAAAATTAAATTATTTTTTAAATTTATGAAGGTTAATTATTAGTATTAACCAATACTGACAGATAATTGGTGCATCTATGGAAAAATATAATATATCAGAGGTCCATGCCATACCTTTTTTATTATCAGTTTCTGTTAAATTGAACTGATTTAAGAATAGGTATTTGAACTCTTTCAAATCTATGGTTGTTACAATTTTTGCTTTCGGGGTATTAATTGCAAAAGGTGGATACGGGCCTAATTTTTTATTCACTACCAGGCTTACTCATGTTTGTACTAAAAAATATCACCAATAATATTCTTTTTTTTGCCCGACTTCCCCATTCAAGAAAAACAAAATTTTGATCGTGCTCGTCACTCCTAAAAAATCATGAACTATTTTAAAATTCGATTCTGTTGCATGTGCGCTTTTGTACGCTATTATTTTATTACTTATATTTAAAATGTCAGTTACACTTAATAATATATTATTGTATTTTTATATACGAAGCCTTTAGTCACAATTTATTTTACCATAAATTATATATTACGATATATATATATTGAGATTTGGTTAAAACACACAAATAAAATAATCACTTTCTTTTCTTATATTTTAATACAATCACTCAATTCGATTATAATAAATTATTCTGGATTAATACTTTATAATAAAGTTATTCTAAATTGAACACTACCATATTTGTTCAATATGGTGGAGGATAGTAATAATAACATAAAAGTCTTACTCAAAACCCTTGACCTAAAATTTATTGCCGAAAACATAACTGATGAACCTACTAACAAATTTAAACTGTTCGAGACAATTATTAAAGATTTGGCGGTGAGTATAATGGATTCGATTGATAATTTATCTTATAAACAAATGAAGGATTTAATTCAAAAAAGGTTAAAAAGAACAAAATTACACGTATAATGGAAGTTTTTAGTACTAAACCAGATAGATTAGAGTCATCCAGAGAATATCTGGATAGGCTGAAGGTGTGCGGATCTGGCCTTAATTCAGAATTGATTGCAGTTCAATTCATTATTAATTGTCACAATGAGAGATTAAAAACAAGATTGGTAGAAGAGAACACGACAGACTTGATTATAATTGAGGAGATTGTTGTCAAATGTCAATCATTGGAGTTTAATAATAAAAAGTCCTTCATTGAAAAAGATACATGGAGAAAAGATGACAGATATGGTGCACAATTCTATACGTCATGGAATGAAAACAAGCATAATGGTAGGACCTACAACAACAACAAAAACAACAACTACAACGATAACAACAACAATTTAAAAAAACAAGAAATTATACAAACGCCATATAATTTGAGGCCAAGGAAAAAGATAAATTTTATTAATGATTTTATGATTAATATGCAACTTAATAATCTTAATTTTTCTTTTTTTGATAGATACGGGTTCTCCAGTAACATCATTGCCCATTAAAGATTTTGAAAAATTGGAGAATTTTGAAGAAATTGAGTTGGAAAATTGTTCTATAAAATTATTCTCTTATGAGGGTTCTCCTATCACAGTCGTTGGTCAGGTCTCGAATATTAAGGTTAAATATTTAAATACAATTAAATATTTAAATTTTTATGTATTGGATGGGGAGGGACCACCTCTATGTGGTCAAGACTGGATTAAAGAATTTGACATAATCAAATTCAACGTTGATGTAAACACTATTATAAATAATGAGATAGGAGATAGAGTGAATTTTTTAACTTTTAATAATCCGTTATCGCTTCGATTAGGAATCGGTTGATATAAAAAAAAATAATAAATAATAAAACATTTTTTTTTAATGACAATGACTTTGATTTACGACCTTAATTTTAAAAGAATAAAATTTTGAGAATTAACTTTACACAACTCCGTTTTTGTTAAAGTGAGCTTCAATCAATTATGACGTGGGGTATTGTCACTGAGAGGATCAGTAATGTCATTGGAAATTCAGATTTTCTAAGATCAAAATTGTTAATTTAGATCATAATGTTTCTTTAATTAGAATTGTTTTCTATGATAATACGCTTTTCTTATATTTTTTTTTATCACCATCCCCAAATTTTATCATATATTTTCATGATTGTTTTTTTTCTTCATTATATTAATTTTATTCCAAATATTTTTATTGTTTATTGGCCACCTATAGTGTGAATTGTACCTATCGATAGTGTAATTTATACCTTTTGTAAGGGTAATTACATAAAAAACTATCATGTACAACTATGGTGCCAATTTTAAATAATTTTCTTCATTATATCAATTTTTTTTCCAAATATATTTATTGTTTATTGGCCACCTATAGTGTGAATTGTACCTATCGATAGTGTAATTTATACATTTTGTAAGGGTAATTACATAAAAACCTATCATGTACAACTATGGTGCCAATTCCCCTTTATACAAATATTTTCATTCTTAAAAATAAATTACCTCTCGCATGCTAAACGAGTTCTTTCCTGCCCCATTTTTTCGTACCATGTTGTGTTTTCAAGACTTTAATTTTTTTTTTGGAGGGAGTGCATGTTGCATGTGCGCTTTTGTACGCTATTATTTTATTACTTATATTTAAAATGTCAGTTACACTTAATAATATATTATTGTATTTTTATATACGAAGCCTTTAGCCACAATTTATTTTACCAAAAATTATATATTACGATATATATATATATTGAGATTTGGTTAAAACACACAAATAAAATAATCACTTTCTTTTCTTATATTTTAATACAATCACTCAATTCGATTATAATAAATTATTCTGGATTAATACTTTCTAATAAATTTATTCTAAATTGAACACTACCATATTTGTTCAATAGATTCTATTATCTAACAAACGAAATAATAAAAGCTTCTTGTAAATCTTTGTTATAATTAAAAATTCACTACTCCATCTCATTTATATATAAATAAATAAAAATGAAGAATGCCAATATTTTTTCATTTTGGTTGGGTTTGTCTTCTTCTAATAAACAATTATTGGCTATGAAAATAATCATTCGCTATAAACATAAATTTATGGGCTGTAAAAATTTTGTTAGAATTGACAAAATTCGCAAACTTTAATGAAAATAAATAAGCTTTTTCTAAAAACAAAATATATTCAAGTCCATTTTTGAAAAATTTAGTTATCCAAATTTTTTGAATTTTGTATAAAATGACATTATCTTTTAAATAAGTTTATTGAGGGAAAAAATGTTGTTTTTAATAAAATGTGTAAAGAAAACGATTTAAAATTGAATTTTCCGAGATTAAATTTTAGTTGGTAAGATTCTTTTTAACGAACCCATTTTGGGTTATTTGATAGAATTGTACCTTATTACTCTAAACTAAGATAAAATACAATAGCCAGTGTGTTGCCCTGTAGGATTCCCGTATTTACAAGAAAAGGACTAAATAAGATTCGAATTGTAGAAACATTGTATTGCTTAATATAATATCTGAAAAAATTCCGATTATTTTGTATATCATATTTTCTCTGTTTATTAAATCAAATATTTGCTGAAATCAATAAAAACCATGTAGTGGGATTTTTTTTAACTGTCGGTTCTTTATTGCGTTAATCTATTTAACTCCAGCGTTCCCCTGTAATTTGTTAGCAAGAATAGATTTTCTTTTTTATGAATTATAATGGTAATATAGATTTGGAATTTCAGATAAAATTTGATCAAAAAACTTGTTTAAGTAACTGGATTGAGAACTCCATCGCTTAACTTTATTTAGATATTCTATAATTGCTCACCACTGCTACAGATCATTCCATCACACGGAGCAATCTTTTCACTGAAGGTTTCATAAGATCCCCTAGGACTTATTTTCAGTAATTTTTGATCCAATGGACATTTTTCGGTTTGATTTATGAGGATTGTTCCTGTAAAACGTAAATATTTTTCTATTAGTATTCTGTTTATATTTGTGGAAGTAAAATAATTATCAAAGAATAGTAATTGTTCTTGAACATTTGAAATAACAGCGGTCAATTTTGTCATCACTCTTTCACCAAAAGGACTAGTTCATTGTTATCCTTCCCATTATAAATATCAAATGCAATTGGATATACACAAGATGAAGATAAACCCCAAATATTTACTGCCTTCCTAGATATAGTTTGGTTTCCATAATAGGAGATCATTTGTTCATCCAAACTTAAGTTTTCTTTGAATATCCCAAATTCTTATAGATTTCGACCAATAATATTATTATTCGATATCGAAATTGTTGGCCAGATGTAAATATCGTTTGATATCTTGAAAACGATTTTTAGACATTTTTTTGGAGATAAAATATGAACTTGCATCTTCATCTTGAGACCAATATGAATTTTCTTGGGGAAGAATATGATATCCATTATATAGAATAATACCTATAAATCCAAAACATGTCAAAGAAATGATATAATTTTTGATTAGCATATAATTTCATTTGATTCATTATAAGTGTATATATGTCTTCATCAAAAAACATAGGAAATAATTCTGGGAAGGGGGGGAAGGGAGATTTACTTTTATGTCAGGGAAAAAATTTTCTAACTGAATTGGTTCTTTTGAAATCATATTGTAAAGCTTTTAACTATTTTTCCCATTTTATATTGGAAATTTTTATTCTCTTAGATGGTTGTATATTGTTTATAATATTCTGACTACTCAACTTCTCTAGCAACATCCTCTAATTGTTCTGACGATATATCTTGATCGTTACCTTCTTCATCTGTGACATTTCCTATATTATCTGGTGGTAAGACGTAATTTAATTTTCATCATCATCCGAATTCTCTAATAATGACATGAGTCTAAAGCTGTTTTTAAATTAGTGTAATTCAAGCTGGCAATAAAAAATCGAAAATATTACAAATTAAAAATTGTTGGGAAAAGAATACCTTTGAGGCTAACATTTTAATGAATTATAGTTAAGAATATGAGTGACTAAAATATATATTTTTTTTAAGTTTTTTATGCTCGAAAAAAAATTAAGATATCTTAAATTTTGAATATAAATTTTACAAAATAAGTTCAAAACATTTTTGCTTGTATTTTTAAAAAGAGAAAAATATGGCGAAACAGGCCACACCCTTTTTTAATTTATAAATTATAAAACAAAAGAATTATTATGCCAAAGTTGATGTTCCAAAAACCAAACATTTGTGATTAATGGGTTAAAGGAATATTAAAATTGTATTAGTATTTTAAACCTTCAGAAATGTAAATGATTTTAAAATATAATACTTAATGGCTTGAAGCCTATTTGTAAAAACGGTGTACTCAATATTTGATCCAGAAAAATATTACGCAAGTCTAAAGATTTTGCTCATAGATAACACAAAGGTTTGGATATCTATTATCTAGAGATTTAGGCAATATTTTTCTTGCGAAAATATTGAGTTAGCAGTTTTTGGAAGTACATTTGCTTAATTCTGTAGCTTAGACATTATTTTTAGCTAACAACATCTTGCTCAGTTTGTTAGCACAATTTTTATTCTTGACCTTTTAAATATATTCCAATATAAATAAATCTTTGACATTTAACCCTTCAGTACAAAGGTGGGGTAAATATTACCCCGTGGCTTTTATAATCTTGGTAAAAAAAAACTTGAAGATATTTTAACGTGGTTTTTATAGTAGTTTAATATGTTTTATAAAGAATACATTACCAAATTTCAAGATAATTGATTTGATATTTTTTAAAATATCAATTTGTTGAGCTTGGGGTAGTATAGGCCCCACCTTTGTACTTGCGAAATTTTTTATTATTAATTAATATTATTTTATATTACAAACTAATGTATAAAATTGGAAAAAGAATATTTATTTTTATAAATTTTCATTGTTATATTGTGAGCCAAAATTTTAATTTTATATTATTGCATATGGAAAATTTAATATCATTAAGTTCTGGGAGTATTTTCTATTTTATATTTATAACATTCTATATAGGTAAAGTAGATGTGAGTCAAGTAATGATTATTTATATGACAGCAATCACAATTCGAAACAGAGGGGGAAAATAAAGATAGTGATGAATGTGAAGATAACTATAAATATTGTTGCACTAGCCTTTAATAAGTTATATAAAAATATTAAGGTAAAGATGACAAAACCAAAGTTAAATCACATGCAAAAAAAAGCATAGTCACCATTAACTATAAATATTGTTACAGTAAATTATACTAGCCTTTAATAAGTTATAAAAAAATATTAAGGTAAAGATGGCAAAACCAAAGTTAAATCACATGCAAAAAAAACAAAATCTCCACTTGAAAACTTTAAATTATTATCTCACCTTCTATTACAGATTTAATTTTAAAATAGACAAATTAAAAGATAGAGGCCCTTCAAAAAGATGATTATTTATCATATTAAAATGAATGAATGTGAAGTTAATGCCCTGGTTAGTTTGCTAATGATAGCTGGTGTTTATAAATCCAATCATCAAAATATAAGAGATTTATGGAATAAGGATGGATTTGGTGTAAATATATTTAGATATCCATGAATATAAATAGATTCCAATTGATTCGATGATATGAATACAAGGAATACGAGGAAAGCAAATGATAAAGTCACCCATATTAGAGGACTTTTAATGATAACTGTTGGACAACATGTTACTATTGATGAAATGCTTCCTAAATTTAGAGTCAAATGTCGATTCAGGCAATATATGCCAAATAAACCATCAAAATATGGTCCTAAAATCTATGCTCTAGTGGATGCTAGGACTTTTTACACATTAAAAACGGAATTATATACTGCCAATCAGCCAGAAGGACCTTACATTGTCAAAGCCATTTGATGTAGTTGAAGGACTTATTTTACCAATTTTAGATACTAATAGAAATATTACAACTGACAATTGGTTACAAGGTATGAATTAGTCAATCATGTTAAATTCACATTCCTTAACCATAGTGGGAACTATAAAAAATAAATAAAAAGCAGGTACCTGCTTTCTTTTTAGGTAAAAAAAGAGATATAAACAAGTTTATTTGCATATAGAGAAAATACAACTGTAGTTTTATACATACCAAAAAAGTATAAGAATTTAGTGTTGCTTTCTATGCTATATTATTTAACAAAAGTGATGCATCAACTAGTGAGTTGAAAAAATCAGAAATTAAAACGTTTTATAATTTAACAATAACTGGAGTTGATGTAGTTGATCAAATTTGCTCCATATACCAAAAAATCGAATAGATGGCCATTAAACATTTTTTATACTATGTTAAATATATCAATAATAAATGCACTGATAGTTTATAAAGCCAATAATTTATTGAATATAAAAAGATCTTATAAAATTATTAGCAATGGAACTCATAACTCCATATATGATCAGCAGATATAAGAACCCTCGTATATGTAGATTATTACGTAACATGGGGATGTTCTCAATATAATTGATGAAAAACATATTCCATCAAATAAAAAGGGATGTTATGATTGTCCAAGGGTGAAGGAAAAAAAACAACATTTATTTGTAAAGATCATATGAATTAGAAATCTACAAAAGTAAGCCCAGCCTGTAGGGGCTTCAGGTTGGGCCTATTTTTTTTAAAAAAAAATCAGGTTCAGGCTGGGTCGGGCCTAATTTTTTTTAAAAAATTCAGGTTCAGGCTGGGTTGGGCCTAATATTTTTTACAAAAATTTAAGTTCTGGCCTTGGAATTTTTTTTAAAATATATCTAAATTTATCAATTATATGTTGAATTTTTTATGTAAAATAAAAGCATTTGATTTTATGTATAGAAACTAGACGCCATATAACATATAACTTTTATTTAGAGTAATTATATTAATTTTTTTTTAAAATAATCAGGCTGTTATATTTATTTTACAAAAAAATTTGAATTTGGGTTCAGCCAGCATAACATTTTTATTTGGGCTGGGCAGGCTTGAAAAATTAAGCCCAATGCAGATCACTAATATGCATACATTTTGTCATGAATATTATTACAAAAATTTACATGATATTTGGTGATTAATATTTTTTTTGATATCTGATATTTTTTTACAAAATTTATGTAATTATCATTATTCAACATTGATTTAATAAAATATAAATAAAATTTACATTTTTTAAATTTTTTTGGTGATAATACTAGAATAAAGGAAGGTCTCAAAAATTATTTCAGCAACTTTAGGAAAATTTGCATAACTTTTTTTGAGTAAATATTAATCTAGATTATGAATTTATTATCTCCAATATTTTTTAAATATATATTCAAAATTTTAGATCTCAATTTTAATTTGGTCTAAGATATAGCTAATCAAAATTTGGGGTAAAATAGATCCCACCTTTGTAGTTATGTGAGTTTTTCCCACCTTTGTAGTAAAGGGTTAACAAAACTAAATACGTTTTTATTTGCTTCTGGCACCTACATATATTAAGATTTATTAGCAACTGACTTATGAGGTAGATCTAGATCTAAAAAATTAGTTGTCATTATCACAGGTTTTTGTAAATATAGGGATTACTATGTTACCATTTTGTAAATAAAAAATACATTTTTTAACTCATCTTATAAAGCTAAATACGATTCTATATTAATATAATTTAAAATTAAGCTTCTTTAATAGGTGGTGCATATTTTAGTCATGCCCATTTTTATTGAATTAGGATTATAAAATATATATTATATCAAATAAATTAATGTAATAATAAAAATATGTAAGCAAAAATTAAGTGTTGGCAAACCAAAAGTCCCCTAAAGAGAAATCATACTTTAGAATTATTTGAAAGAAATACTCATAAAATTGATTATTTTTTAGAGGAAAGGAACAGAAAAATTTTATTTATAAATTTATCAAAATTGAAATTCAATTTAAGATTCCATGCTCTACAAAATATTTCAATGATTGATATCAATAATACCTCTTCAACGTTTGTATTTGATTTTGCACTTGTTTCAAAAAGCCTAATCTTCATTTGATCTGCAAATATTTTAGCTTCTTTATAAGATACTACCCTTTTATTAGGATCATCAATTTTATTACCAACTAAATGATATAATTTTTAACAAATATTTAAATTAATATAAAACCTAATATTCTATTAACATCATCACAGTTTTGGTCTATTTCATGCAACCAGCGCTTAACATTGATAAATGAATCCATATTTGTTACATCATATACAATGATAACTCCATGTGTACCTCTATAATAACTATTAATACAAGTTGTAAATATTTTATAGTTTGCAAGAAATATATAAATTATTACGTTGAGGTAATTGTTCTAAAGCGTTCTTGACCAGCAGTATCCCATATTTGAAGCTTAATTCTTTCTCCGTCTATATTTACAGTTCGAATTTTAAAATCGACTCCTATAGTTGTGATATAACTCCCTAGTATGTTATTATGTTATTATATTTATTATATAAATATTACCAGAAAAGGTATTATCAGCAAACCTTAAAAGTAGGCTACTTTTTCCAACCCCTAAACCTCTATTATATTTTGATTTCTAACCATAAAAATTTATACCGCTATCCCCGATGATAAGAAGTTTGAATAAATGATCATAATCCCGTGACATTTGAATTGTTTGTTATAAGATGTTTTTAAACATTTTCAATAAGCATTGTAAATATAACCCAACCTCAAGAGTACGTTAATCTTTTCGGCTTGTGCTAAACCATGATCGATCAAAAATTTTATTAGATTAATTATAATAATAATTAGATATAATTCAAAAAGTGTGTTGTGGAAGGGGGGGGGGTGTTTAAATTTTAAAAAACTGGATATATTAATTAATAAAATAAAATAAAATGTATCAAACAAATTTATAAATATCATTATTTATTTTTTCAATATTCATTTCCTCAGGACTATCTTCCAGATGCAACTATATAATAAAAATTTTTATCATCGTCTCTCTTTATATTTGCAGAAATATTGGAATTTTGTTTGGTTGATTACGTCGAATTTCTATTAAATCTACACTAGAAGAATTAACTAATTTAATTTTAACTTTGACAGTGGTTATGTATGAATTGAGGCTATATCCAGTGAAAATCTCGGTCTTCATCTATCTTCTGAATATTTTAGATATCAATTGGTTTTTTTACTAGTTGCAATATGGTCTCTCCTTTCACATGTTCTCTGCAACTTACTTCAGAGTTGAAGAAAATAGACACCACCTATTAAACTGTCGATTCTCTAAAGGCGTTCATCCTAGATTTAGCGCTGTCAACAATATAATATTTAAATTAATAAGAGACAACAGTCTATGCAACATCGAATTCTTAGATCTAAATACTTCAGATAGATAAAGACCACTTGCTTTAACCTTAATTCCATGGGAAATGGCATCACTCTAACTTGGGATTACATTTTTGTATGTATTCACTAATTTATCAATCATGAAATCACTTTTCGATGGCCAAATAAAAAAAAAACAAATATTCAGATTAATTAATATTAAATTTATACCTGTTGCCACATCAACCCTTATAAATTCCGGCCACGAGGCACTTTCCTTCCTGAAAAAGATAGGAAGAAAAATTACCCATCTCATTGTTAAATTTGTTATCAATTCATGGCTCCATGTTGACCATAAACATTGATTATAATAGCATTTTTATTTAAGTCTTTTTAAAAATATGTGTATATATATATACGATTTGGACAAAAGCTCATCGTATTAAGAAATATTGAACACTTTTTTGGTTAGTTTATTATTTCATATGTATATTTCATATACTTTATTTCCACGTGATTCAATTTTAACAAAGACAATTAATAGTAATATAATGTCTTCTCGAAAATATATTGAAAAACGTCCATATCTGTTCATTGCTATCTTGTATCTTTTTTAAAATTTTGGAAAGTATCTTGTATCCAGTATCTAAGATACATATTATTTAAAAGTATTTGTATCTTAACCAACTTTGTATTCAAAAAGATACAGATACTTTAAAAAAAATTTATATTAGTTAATTTAAATAGTATTAAAATTTTAAATGATATTGTTTTAAGATTTAAATAAAAAATTTAATCAAAATTTAGATATTTTAAGATAATTTTTAATATATGACGTTGGTCGTCATATAGCAATTTGCTAATAATTAGAACTACCATATTTGAATCATTTTATATCTGTCTATTTTAAAATTATGGAAGAAGAATATAGAATAATATGTTTATCTTCGTCTTCAGATGATTCTTCAACCGAAAATTATAACAATAAATTAAAATAAGCATACTTAATGGCAAATTTTTTGAAGTACTTCAAGATGATCATAATAAAGAAATTCATCGTGACTTTGGTATTGACGAAAAAGTTATAGCAACTGTTACAGATAACGGCTCTAACTTTAAGAAAGCTTTCAAGAAGTTTGGATATTCTATGGAAGCTGTAGAGAATGACTTTGACATCAATATGTACTAAGCTATGGAATGCAAATAATAGGCCTAAAACTGCAGAACTTATCAAAGCAGTTTTAGGAAAACAATTAGTTACACCTTGTTGCACTAGATGGAATAGTTTGTATGATAGTCTTCATAGTTTATTAAAATTTAAAGGCGAACTTCCTAAATTATGTCAAAAATTAGAATTTCCTAAATTAAGAGATATTGAAATTCAATATTTAGAAGAATATTGCAATATAATGGCCCCATTGGCTATAGCGATTGACAAAATACAGAGTGAAATCAACTGCTATTATGGAGAATCAGCTCCAATTTTAAATGTCTTTAAAAAAAATTACAAATTTAATTCAAACCAATCTACAATTTTGGAAACCATTAGCTATTGCAATATAAAATTATTTAAATAAAAGATTTAAAAATATATATGATTTTGATAACAATTTTAAAAGTGCATTCTTGGCAACTATTTCTCATCCCTATTTTAAAAATCGTTGGATTGATGGTGAAAAAGAAAAAAATACCTTCAGGATTTGTTATTACATGAAGTTTTAATTGTTTTTAAAAATAATATTGAAATTAATACTTCAACAAAATCTTCAATTGATGAAGATGATGATTACTTTTGCCTTAAAAGTACCACATCCAATTCTAATAATTCAATAAATGATATTGAAATAGAGGTCCTAAATTATATGAAAGATGACAGGCGGAGTATAAATAGTTATAAATATATAAAAGAAATATTGATTAAATATAACACAATATTACCCTCCTCAGCCCCCGTTTAAAGATTATTTAGCTTTGCTAATATGGTTAATAGACCAAATCGTCAAAGATTGAACGATAAATCATTTGAAAAATTAATAATATTAAAAAATAATGCTGATATATGATGCTGATTTATTATTATTTACTAATTATATAATTATTAAATGGAATATCGCATTATTTTTATAATAAATTTTTTCTACAATTTATTTTAAATATTTTTTTATAAATTTATATTATAGAGTATAAAATAAAGCTTTATACATTTTGATTTTGACTATTTAAAGTTTTTAAAAAAGTATCTTGTATCTTAGATACTTTTTTTTTAAAAAAATACAAGTATCTTGTATCTTATATCTTATTGAAATTTTTCTAAAGTATCTAGTATCTTGTATCTTAAATACAAAATTTTATAAAGTATCTGTATCCGAATACAATTTTCTGAAAATTTGCCCTACCCTGAGGTTTGGGATACAATTTACACATAAATATGTGTATATATATAATCAAAGTAAATGTCTATATAAATTCTAATATATGATCAAAAATTATTTACTATTTATTTTCATAAAATTTACTTTCTTCTGTTTCAATAACTTCTATATATTATTTTGACCATATATAAATGTCATTGAGCTGTTGATTATCATTAACGGCATTTGGGTCATAGCTTGATTCATATTGATTATTGTTGATTGTCATTAAATCTTAATGGTTAATGAGTCATAGTTTGATTAATATTGTACTGCTGATTGTCATTAAATCTTAACAGTTAGTGAGTCATAGTTTGATCGTAGCATCGTTGTAATTCATGACCATTCTATCTTAAGCTTGGTTGGTATTATTAATCCAGCATCATTGTAGCTGATTGGACAGAATATTATAAAAAGTAACAATCAAATTTTTTTTTTAATTATATCCAAAATGTATTTTCATAGGCGTAGCCAGGATTTTCATAAGGGGGTGTGGGGATTAAAAAATTACTGGTATATTTTTATTAGTTTATATAAAATAAAAATATAATAAATTACTTGTATTGTATATACCTTAATATAAAAGCATGGTAATAATTTATTCCAAACAATTATAAGAAATTTATTTATAAAAAGTAAATAGACATATAGTTGATTTTACTCTATTATATAGAATTAGTTATAAAATACTAGGTAAAATTCCACTTTTACAGACATATTTGACAGTTAGAGAATATATTACAGTTAATAATTTAACAAATTTTACTAATCAATGCTCTTGATATTAAATATAGCAACAATTTGCATTCAATTATTTAACGCATCTATTTGTTTTAAGTAAAAATGATATTAAAATTTAATCTTCATATTATTCATCCCACAATGTCTTAAGATATTTTCTGATGTCCTTATCAATATTTTATAGTACTGTAAAATATATAATTTCGCTATATTGGTAATAATTACTTGATTGTCATTTGATAATTAGATATACTGTAAATCTACGACATATAATATTCCACTGTTTGTATTGTGCTTTAATATTTTTTTAATTTATGATTTAATTTTATCAATAGTTTCATAATTATATTTTACTTTTATTAAGATAAATAAATTAAAATTACTCACTTTATAAAAAAATTATATTTGATATATTATATTATTTAGTAATTTTATGGATCTATTATTAATAATTATAATACATTTCACTTCTGTCTTAAGACTTATCTTTGGCTTATATTCCATTTATTAAAAAAACATTTTTGGTTCATTTTATATAAATTTATTTTCCCAAAAATCTATAAATTATGATGAATAGTTTTATAAAAAATATCAACTTTTACATTCTTTCTTTCAAATTATTATTTAAGATATATGCATACATATTTGAGGGTCAGGGAGTGGGGGGAAGACTAAGGGGGATATTTTTTATTAGCTAAAAATGATATTTACAAAAAGTGATAAATTTCTGAAGGGGGGGGGATTTCCCCTTATCCCCCCCCTGGCTACGCCTATGTGTATTTTTATTCGTTCCTTTTAACATTATCCAGATATACTTCTTCCCTATTTATCATAATCCTAAGTATCAAATATTAAACATAAAATTTTTGATCCCCAATATTCACATGAGACCTATTATTATATTATACCTCTATTCTCCTTCTATTTTTCTTGGATCTAAAATAATGTCAAAAGGCCAATTCCCTTCTATTATACAACTTGCAAAATTTTAAACATAAAAATATTCTTATTAATGGCTCACTTCATTAATATCCTTTACATAATATATAAATCCATATTTATACCCAAAAAATCAAAAATATTTTTATTAATTTACCTTTACATATATACAATATTAAGCATGTATATATATAAACCTTTAATCAAAATTTAAAACATAAAAATATTATATTATTTAATTTCTCCCTCCATTATTATCCTTTACATAAATCCACTTATACATATAAAATCAAAAATATTTTTATTAACTTACCTTTACATATATAC